TCTTGTGAAAATAATTTCCACGCTAGAAAACCAAAAAGTTCTTCTTTCCTTATATCCACAAAAGTCAAAAATAAAAAAAAAAAACACTAACAAAATAGCCTTGCTTCGCTTTTCCAATTATATTTAAGTATAACAGCCACAGTAAATGCGTTAAGCAAATATATATAATTCCTGACCTAAAATAATTTTTTTTTAGCTAAAAACCATCAGAACTCGAATAATTTGAGTAATTTTTCTCTTTTTCACCTAAAACGATCCCTGAGCTGTGGAAAACTGCATTTCCAATACTGTGCTTCTAATGCCGGTGTGGAAAATTGAGATTTCCACCATTTTTCAGATGCCCTTTCAAACAGTGGTGTGTGTTTTGTGGGAGTAGTGGCTTCCTATAAAATAGAAAAAAAAAATATTTACCATTTACAAATAATCACTACATTTTAGTTTTTTGGTAATTAAAACAAACAACATCTTTTTTTATTGTTCAGGTGTAGTCAGTTTAAAATAAAATAAAAACTCAATCAATTTAGAAGGAAACCTTCAGTGTGACCTGAAACAAAAATGCTGAAAAATGATTGAAAAAATTTTAGTCATTAATGACTAAAATTTTGACAACAATAAGAATACAAAAAAATAAAAATGAACATTTTGGTTAATCAGATGATGTCCACCGGAACCGTTAGCAGTAGTGGCTCGATCCAGTTCATCCACTTCATCTCCATCTTCAGCACCATCTTCTTCTTTTGCCCCACCAACCATACGCGTCCCTTCTTCCACTTGCCGTTGCATACTCAACTGCTGTCGCTCTAATCTATTTGGTTGGCCTTTGGATAACCCCGCTCAAAATCATTTCTGCAACTGTATTTGTTTTAAGGTATAAAAAAAGCAAAAAAAAACTTTTAGTTTAGCTTTAGTCAAATGTCGTAAGCATCAAATTGAGACGTTGCAAAATAAAATGAATTTGTTGGCTCATAAAAAACAACGGCATCAGCATCAGCAACAACAACAGTAATAAAAACAACAAAACTAAAACAGATATCATCAAAAACAGCAAAAGAAAAGCAAAAAAAAAAAAAAAAAAAAAAAAAA